ATGGCTGAAGTTAAAGGCAAAAAGCTGGACTGTATCTGTCAAACTGCTGTCATTACTACCAAATGATTGCATGAATAATTCCCATTCTGTGAAGTTGCATCAATGTTCAAAGTGTAGAATTCAGAAAACCAAGGGTGCTGTCCTAGTTAAAAATGAGTGGTTCTGTGTCAGCATGATTCTGGCAATCTAGGAGTGAAATGTCAGTTGAAACCATCTTTGCACAGAACAATTACAGGATGACACATTTCAGTAAATCTTTTCTGGCTCAGACAAGTGCAACATTTGTTAAATAAACCAGATTAACATATGGAATTAGAATGAGCAATATGTTCCTTCATTCCTGAAGATTACAGGCACATGTGGCTTGAACAAAGAAACACTCAGTGAAAAGTGAAAAGATGACATAGAAAGATCTCGTGTCTCTCAGATACAAAAAGTTAACAACAACAAGGCTTATTTTTATGCTGAAGTTCTGGCAATAACCACAGAATCACAGAACTGTAGGGGTTGGAAGGGACCTCCAGAGATCATTGAGTCCAACCCCTTGCCAAAGCAGGTTCCCTACAGCAGGTCGCACAGGTAGGCATCCAGGCAGCTCTTGAACATCTCCAGAGAAGGAGACTCCACCACCTCCCTGGGCAGCCTGTTCCAGTGCTCCGTCACCTCACTGTAAAGAAGTTCTTGCGCACATTTGTGCGGAACTTCCTATGCTGCAGCTTTTGTCCATTTCCCCTTGTCCTGTCTCCACTCACCACTGAAGAGACTGGCCTCACCACTATGACCCCCACACCTCAGATATCTATAAACCTGGATCAGGTCCCCTCTCAGTCTTCTTTTCTCAAGGCTGAACAGACCCAGTTCGCTCAGCCTTTCCTCATAGGAGAGATGCTCCAGGCCCTTCACCATCTTCGTGGCCCTCCGCTGGACTCTTTCCAAGAGATCCCTGTCTTTCTTGTACTGGGGAGCCCAGAACTGCACGCAGTACTCCAGATGAGGCCTTACCAGGGCAGAATAGAGGGGGAGGATCACCTCCCTCTCACCAATAGTGTTGATTAATTACAGGATCCTTAATTCAAAGATTACCCAAACAAGAACATTAAAGATTTAAAAAGCAGATTTCTAAAAGGCTCAACAGCAGCAACTGATGAACTAGAGCTATGCAAAAATGTTATAGGCCAGACTTCAAGCTCAGGACAGCCACTACTTTTGAACCTTCCTGAAGGCTCCCTTTTAGAGTAAACACGGAAGATTAACCAAGGAGATGTCCAAGCAACCTCAATTACAGAGAATACAGACAATCCAGATACATTATGGCAGCTTTTGGAAAATCTGAAGGTAAACTGCATTTTCTCAATTTCCACATGAGTGTAATGATAAGCTTCTTTTTCTCATTTTATAAGGGGACAGTGTGAACCATTGCTTGCAGCTCATTATTACCATCGTAGTCTATGTATAGACTATAAATTAGTCACTCACAGTCACTTCCATATTGGGAAGCCCCAGTTTCTTAGAGAAGTGTGATATAGAGCTTATCCATTCTATGATATAAGACATTATGAGATTCATGCAGCTAACTAAAGTGAAAGATGTCTAAGTTCAGTCCCAAGTTGATAGACATCTACGTCAATGCCAGCAGTTGCTTCAGTATAAGATGGTAATTCTTTATTTACAGTGTTTTTACCTAAAATCAAGTCTGTAACAGGTTTACAGATTTCAGAGAAACTAGATTCTTTGTACACACCCTGTAGAAAATTTCCTCCATCTGTTATTTCAAAAGCCATTTGACTGCATACTTTTCCATACTGAACACGAAGAAAAATTTCTTTACTGTGAGGGTGACAGAGCACTGGAACAGGCTGCCCAGAGAGGCTGTGGAGTCTCCTTCTTAGAAGACTCTCAAAACCCACCTGGATGCTTTCCTGTGCAACCTGCTGTAGGGAACCTGCTTTAGCAGGGGGGTTTAGAGCAATTCATCACACTATTTCCTCTGAACACACTGAAGTATTTTATTATTAAAGCTTCACAGAATTTTAAAAAAATTGCAAGTAGACTCCTCTAATACCTATAAGAAGTAACTAAGCTGCTTATGATTGGAGGAGGTGTTTTAGAAGACAGAAACACATATGGAAGACTACCACAACTGCAAATGTAACTTTCAACTAGTTACAAAAGCTTTCCTCAGAAATTCTGTTTTCCTCTTTTCTCCAGGGACCCAATTTGACAAATATACTTCCTAGGACCCAGTTGAGCAAGATACTTCAGAATATATATAAACAAGCACAACTGCAACCCCAGAGAATTTTGTGGAACTAGCCACATCTCCTACATCATACACAGAACCCCTTGATGCCTTTTTTTTCCCCTCAAATTTGTCTCAGTTCCAGAACCAATAAAGCATACAAGCTTCCCAAGTGACCTCTTGAAGACTTCAAGAGAAGGAACAAAACTTAAAGAAATACAGCACCTTTGAAATGGCTTGTGCTTACAGGAGTATAAATGTCAGCAACACACCACAGAATTGTAGCTGAAAAATAGCTCAGGATTACTTTCTTCATCTTCTGTAACCTTTTCAAATTAAGTTCCAATTTCATGCTATCAGAATATATTTTATGGCTCTTTCCAGTTCTGGTCACACGAAATGTTACTTTACAGGATATAGCCATCTTCTAACAGAAGAGAAGATTTTAAAGCAAATAATGGTACAACTACATCTCTGGGAGTAAGTTGTTCTACTGAAAGTTTATACTGGGAGGATCCTGTAGAATAGAACTTTCGGGTTGTTGCTTTACTCTTAGTAGGCCAGATTATTAAATTTGTTTCAGTCAACACTATTTGATTAGAATAGAATAGGATGAGTGATTTCCACTCTCTGGGACATGGTCTACTCAAAAAGTAACTGCAAATAACAAATAAAGCTTCCAAACAGAAATTGTTACAATACCACTGGAAAACTCCACATGGTATACTCACTGGAAAAAATAATAAAAGAGCTGGGAGATTGATAAAAATCTAAAAAAATCATAACTTATTAGAGAGAGAGCCTAACAGATCCCTCCTTATTTTTCTCACTGACACTGCAGAACACTATCACATACATTTCCCAGTGTGTGGTTCCCTTCTCTTTTTTTCTTTCTGACTTCACAAGTTTCATGCTCTTTCACTTCCTTCAGTTTCCATAGGATAATGGATTAATTATCCTATTAATTACCAGCAAGGTAGGAAGAAAAGAGAAATTTAGATAAGATACCGGGGGCAAATTTTTCATTGAGAGGATGATAAGGCCTTGGCACAGGCTGCCTAGAGAAACTGTGGATGGCCCATCCCTGGAGGCACTCGAGGCCAGGCTGGATGGGGCCATGGGCAGCCTGAGCTGGTGAGGGGCAGCCCTTCCCCTGGAAGGGGATTGGGAGTAGGTGATCTCTGAGGTTCCTTCCAAACCAAGTCATTTCATGATTCTATGATTCTATGAAATGCCCTCAGATGAACAATAAATGAAGATTTGTTACTGAGAACAAAAGAGAGGCAGCAGAATTTATTCAGAGAGAAAATAACATTAAGAGATGAATAGGAAGGTACTGCCTACACAGTTGTAAGCCCACAGTTCCCAGCTAAGACCCTCCTGCATTGAGCTCTATTTGAATATCACAGAAAAGAAGGTTTCTGCCTTGCGCAATGTACTATCTGGAGCACAACAGAGCTTCTCATCAAATGATTTTCTCCTCATGAAACCTGCAAAGATGTCTATAATATCCTCACTGAAACTGAGGCTGTCTCTCTGAGCTATACAAGAGAACGAGGATGGGAGTTTTTTCTGTAATAAAGGCCTAGCTGGGAACTTTGACTGTCTAAAGTCAGGGATTCATTTAAGAAATCTCTCTTTTAGAGAAATTGGAGTTATTAAGAATCTGTTTGAAACTTTGATGATAAATAACATTTGGTAATTCACCACCTTCCAAAGAAAAAGAAGAATCAACTGAAAACACCTGAATTCTAGTCTTCTTCAGGTTACAAGATCACCTGCATTTCATTTTCCACACAGGAAGTTCCTGCCCACATGCAGAGCTCTTACTATGCTTCTGGACGTGAATCTTGCCTGCTAGACATCAAGCAAAACTGTCACTCCATTCTGGGTAGTTGAGTAAACAAATATATGTATTATAACAAAAAAGACCCATGTGTTGGAAAGAGCAAAGAAAGCTGTTCAAGAATAAACAAATATATCATCCTTCTAAGTACTGATGTTTCCCAAGGCTTTGAAGTTCGACAGAGCTGTTTCAGAAATTCCTATGGGGTCAATTTTCTACTAGACTCAAAATCTGACTGTGGAACTGAGGAGGAAAAGAAGAGAAAGATCTCCAACCAGAGAAGAAATGCTTTGGTCTGACTGGTGAGTATTTCTATTTCTTGCTGCCCTTCCTTGCAAAAAAGGAAGGGATGTGATGCTTTCCAAAGTCACACGGAAATAACTAATTCCCGAAACTGAAAAATCATCTGCTCTCCTTCACTTCCCAAAAATCCTCCAATATCATTGGTAAGTTCAACAATAGTTTGTACGAACTGCAAGCTCATTTATCAAGTCACGACTTGCTATCTCTACATTTCTTAACAACTCTTCCCCACTGTGTGGCACTTTAGTGTCTTTTTATCATGCCTTGGCTGCTAACTTGCAATGGCAAAAGGTAAAAGAATTCCTGTAAGGGCAAGTAAACCCTCTTCCACGTGACACAGAAATCCTTACACTTCATTAACCTTTATTGTAAGTTAGTCACTGGAAAAGTTACTTTACTAGAATCCATACTATGGTTTCACTCTACAAACCATGTCAGAATGCTAAATTGCAGTAAAATACTGCTCACCTCTTTATGAACCCAAGATTAATGATACGGCGTGGAAGGGAATATCATTGCTGCTAGGAGCATAATAGGTCACAATCAATTCTAAAATAGCTCACCAAGAACAGGCAGCAAAACAGCACAAGTGGTTCCCACTCCTCAACATACCCATTACTGAAACATCATATTCCACCAGCAGAGTCGCCTCTTGTCCACACTGTTTGAGAATACTCATAGCTTCAGCGTGTGTTGTTCCAAGCAGTCGGATCCCATCAACACTCAGCAATCTGTCCCCAGGTTTGATTGTGCCCTCTCTGAAGGGAAATTAAAAAAAAATGATCTTTATTAATACAAGACAAATTGATTTGGAGATAATACCGTTTATGAAAAGCAATTCTCTCACACCCTCTCTTGACATTCATCCCTCCTAACACTTAACATTTACTCTGACAGTGAGAACGTACAGAGGGCACAGTGGAAAGAAAATTGCTTTAATTGGAAAGTCACCGACTGGAAAACAGCTTAACACATAGCTAAATAATCAAGTCATGTTAAATAACAACCACGTATAGCTTCTGCTTCAGCATATGCTTTGTTTCTGCCTTGTCCACACAAGTCTTCTTTCATACACACACAGACACATATTTTGATATTTTCAGATATTTTCCTAGAAATATATACAAGGTATTACAAACACATGAGAAAAGAAGCAGACTGCAAAATATGAATGTCCATTTTTTTTGATTTTCTTTAAAATATCCCCTACTTGAATAGCTTCATTTTCCTTTTCCTCCTATCCAGAAGAAATTTGTCTATAAATGTTCACTGTCTCCTAGGCTTATAACATACTCAGAATTCTAATGGAAAGTGAAGTACTAATATTGCTAGCTTAAGAATGAGGGAGAAAAACAAGAAGGCAAGGGTGATGAAAGTGGGGAGATAGGGGAGGGATAGAAGACAAAAGCTCACTTGAAACATTTACTTCTCAACTAACGTTTCCAAATGCAAAAATGTCAACATAAGCTATAGAATACCAGGCTACTTTAAAACAACTGCCAATTTCTTTAATGAATTAAGAACACAAATATGATTTTTTGAAAATATGAATCAAACACGAACATAAAGTGAATATTCTTTCTTTACGTAGGTGATATTATACAAAAATACATTCTTTGGGCCAAACCACACATCTGCACTCAGAAGTTTTCCAGGCAAAGTCACGTATGAACTCACATGCAGATATCAACAAGAGTATTAAAACAATAGCACAACAACACCAAAGACATAAAAGTATTTTTCTGGAGTGCAAGAGAAAAAGATTGTGGTGCTCGTGTATAAAAAGCATAATTAAGATCTTCAGCACTTGTTTGAAGGCTGCAAAGATTGTGCTCTGACCTATTACAGAGATTTCTCCTAACAATTTTAGGTTAATTTTTGCATGAGTAGTCTTGGAACATGCAAGATGCTTTGTTAACTTAAGTTCACACCACACTGTGATGTGCTGAGCCACTGTGGTTTTCTATTACTGTTATTACCACTACAACTAAATGCATAGATTTCAAAGGGACAGGTTTGAATACATCTACTTCACATCTTAACTTCTATCCCAAACAATTCACTTTTCTCTATTTCTCTTTCACTTGCGTTACAGGGAAAGATGAATTGTACCTGTCAGCAGGCCCTCCGGGTCTAACACATGTTATTACAACAGGACGAGATTTATTTCTGTCATCGTGTGCTCCACCTAGAAAAAGAAAAGTGAGAGAAAGCACACCTTCATTTTACACATTTTATGAAAGCTCATTTCCAAATGCTAAGGTTTACAGCTTGCACACTTAAATACGGCCTAAAAAGAGCAAAAAGTGATGAAGCAATTAATATGAACCTCCCATGATTTTTATTGGGAAAAAAAAAATCAACCTATTGAATTGTACAGACGATTCTTTATACGATGTTTCTACAGAGTGACTCTTATTAAAGGTATATTACTTTCTTAGAAACTTTACTCTCTAAATTTGATCTCATTGTGAAAAATTAGTGCTCTGTAATGTTTGCTGTGCTGAGAAAAAAATACCCGTACTTCATGTAAGTGTACAGAACAACTTCCTGCAGATTTTGGTGGCAGCAAAACCTGGTGTAAAATGAAGTTGTTCGTGTTCTTGTGGCATAAAGAATTAATTACTGCTGTTCCATAAACAAAAATTAGAGCAGTTCATAAAAGCAGTACATTAATGAATGGAAGAAGTAGTACATGAATCACAGAGATTTTTTTAACAAACTGTAAGTCATAAATCCTGAAATAATTTCTAAGTGCTATGGAATCTTATTGCTTCTTTTGCTGATTTCGAAAATAGTGTTCACATTCAGTAACTCACCTCTTATTACAAACCCAAAAGTGTTCCCCTCTTTATGTAAAGTAACTTCCACAGTTCTGAAGATGACACCTGTTCCTTGTACAGCTAAAAAAAGAAAAAATCCACACTATTAATTATTATTATTATTATTAAGTTTAATTTACACCTTTTCCAAACCAAGCTAGCTGTTTTATTTGTGGCCACACGATTGGATTCTATTACATATCAGTCAGACCAAAGATCTGTCATTAAAACTCACACTTTATTTTGAGATAATTTTGTGCTAGATACTTTACAGGTCAAGATTTTTAATGTGTTTGATAGAATCATAGAATGGTCTGGGTTGGAAGGGACCTCAAAGATCATCTAGTACCAAACTGCACAATGCACAAAGATAGAAACAAAAAACAACAAACTGTATAAAATGAATGCTCTGTGAGGTGCAGAAGTAGTAAAACATCCTGCAATGCCCCAGCCTGCAATAATCCCAGTTTCCAAGGTCCCTGTAACAACTGCCCCTAAGTGCATGCTGACAGCCTATGTGTGGCCCCAAAGACCAGCAGTGCCTTCCTGACTCTTCCTGCCTCTCCCTTGGGATGCTTCCTGCTATGGGATCCTTCTGCCCAAGTGCCTACCTTCACAAAACATGCAAGAATATAGTTTTTTTCTTGGAGTCTTTCAATCCCCATTAAACTTGATTAACCATAACCAGAAAATTTTAAAGTTACTGTAGGGAACCAGAAAAACAAGCCTATGAAATCACATAAATCTCATTTCCTTAGGAAAACAGGAAATGACTCTCCAAAGCACTGCTTTGTCTTGCACTAATTTTTGTTACAACTCAAATATCAGAATGGTGTTATCAACATCCACACAGTTCACTTTCAGCTAGAAACCCTTCATTGATAGAAAAGGATGAAATTATGGAGAGAAGATGACAGCTCTTGCTTTATCCCTATCAACTGAAAGTAGCCCAGTGTACAGCACGAGCTGTATCTTCACTTGCTGTTTGCTTGGTGTGGCTCGTGGCCTCCTCTGGGGAAAGGGAAGCCACGTAGCTCAGCAGTGAGGAAGGGCACACAGCATCCTTCCACCTCAGCAGTGACCACTCAGGCAGCTGTACTTCCACACCAAGCTCAGCTTGAGAGGTGAAAAAAGCCCTTAGCTGTTAGCTACAAGAGGAAGATGCAAGGCAGACAGCTCATGCTCCAGTTTGAAATGCTGAGGTAGCTTGTGCTGAAAATAGAAGCTGGATCCCCCTGTTGTGAGCACTGCCAGCCAGGGAAGGAAGCACTAGGGAGAGTGGGATTACTAGTGCTCAGCCAGATGTAATCCATCATTATTAATGTACTGACATTTCCCCACTCAGAAACCAAAACAGTCCTCTCTCTGAGGGGGAACTGTGACAATAGCAGTAGAACTTCATTATATATGGGGCAGGGAAGGAGGTGCCAGTTCTTCCCCATATGACCTATCAAAAAACTTTTGTTTTTAAGAAGTCACTTTGTCTAGCCTGTTCATCAGATTTAACAGGAACAACTAAACTCCTGATTATCACCAACATTATTAGCCACGCTTGTATGAAGGAATCAGAAGTTCCAAGGACTTAACAAAAAGGTTATGACTACTACTGCAATTTACTGTTGCAAACTCCTGCTTCTGTAGATGAGAGTGGCACATCAGCCAACAGCGGTGAAAATGAAGGAAGCCTACTTAAGTGAGCGCAAAACAAATTATTCTCATATGACAACTACATCTCTAGCAAAATAATTCTCTAGCAAAATAATTCAGTTGAGTTCATCACCTCAAACACTGTGTTTCTGAACAGGAAGTTCCTTTACCACAGGCACACACTAATCAACAGCAAACATTCCAAACATTAAGGCGATTGTCAGGAGGTCATAAAAGCAACCAAATATGTAATTAGACTAACTCTCCAGCTGCTACAAAACAGTGGGGAGTACATTCTCTTCTGAGCACTGATGGATTCTTTGGCTTTTACTGCAATCAAAGTCTTTATTTAAGGATAGAAGAGCTTTCTAGTTGGCTTTGCAGTTTTCTTCTGGCCAAGCACCAGAAAACCTCATCTCCTCCCCTCCAGTGAGCAGCATGAAAGAGCATGCACACTTTTAAAGGTTTTTGGTTCAGCCCCTTGGAGCCACCTGTCATTTACTCTGTCATTTTAGGCCCAGGTTTCCAGCTTACCATTACTCTGGCTTTCATTTAATACCTGAGAGCCTCAATTCCTACTGATTCTCTCCCACTGTGCCAGAGACATAAACATAAAAAGAAAGGGCAAATAAGAGGGAAGGAAGACATTCAACAGCACTCTTTCACTTTGCTGTCAACTTATATTTGCTCTTGAAGACAATCCTGCTCAACAAAAAGTCTTCATTTCACTAATAGAATTCTTGCAGATTTTACCTATCTCTATAGACTACTCCACGGGATCTTCTGTCCCAAAAATAAGATGTTGCCTAAAACTGATGAGAGAAGTGACTGGAAAAATTCCAAAATACGTCATCTGGGAAAGCAGAAGGTGTTGCAAGTGGAGAGAGGGAATAAAGCCAGATATTGATAGGTCTCACCTCAGATCTTACTCTAACATGAAGGATTGTGTTGCCTTAGAATCCACCTAACCTAATTCTCAGTACTAGAAACTGGAAAAAAATAGTGGAAGTTGACAAGACTCAGCTTTGTCATTGGCTGAATTTATGCTCCTAATCTCAGAGCACCTTTGAGAGCATCTCCCTGTACTGCCAACACTTTTTGTATTGTATCCGCATTCTGCAGCCAGAGGAAAAAAATATAAGAAAATCACTAGCAAAAGAAGACCATGACCACATCTACCTCAGTGCTGACAACACATCTGTTATTCTGCATAGGTTTCAGTTTGCTCTGCTTTTACTTACAGACCGGAGGGAGCTCATACTCCACTTCTAAAACAACCCGCTCGCCAACATTCTTCAGCAGACTGATGATCTCATCATGGCGAAATTTGGTCAGGTTGATGCCATTCACAGATTTGATGTAGTCACCTACATCCAGCTGGTCACTCCTAGGAAAAGGTACATATTCTTTTCATTAAAGACAGATCTGGTGGACCAAACCAATTACCTTAAATTATTGTTTAGTAATGGCAAGAAACAGCTTTTTCTATTCACCTAGATTAAAACAAGTTGATCTTTCAAACAGAAAGTAGCCTTTAAGAACTTAATCTAATCTAGTTTGTTAAATATTAAAAGAACATTGTTGCATTATTAATTTCTGATGTACAAAAACAGATGTGCAATATAGGAATTGGATGATTTGGCTGGTTCAGGCAAAGGATATGGGAAAACATCTCCCCATCTTTATCTCTCCCTCTTTGGGATACTTCCAGAACTATTTTTTCAGACAGCAGTAGCCTTCATAGTTAACATCACAGCTACAGGAGACAGGCCACAGCCCAAAAGCATATATTCTGCTCAGTTACTTGGAATGATTCAACTTGACCTTTATCTCCTGACCTGTTTTGCTTATATACAACAGCATTTCATCTTACTCTGTAGTATGCAAGGCAGCTATGACTTTAGTCTTCTTGATAATCTTAAAAGAAGCTAATGAACCACCTTATTTATTATATGACAGTAGAACTAGATTTTCAGTTTTATTTTTATCCTCAATATTTTTTGCTGCTTCTGTCAAGTTTACAAGGACAAAAAATAAAAAAAATTAAAAAAAGGTCAAATTTCTACAATTTAGAAGAAACTTAATTAGTCTCACAATAACTTTTAAATACCTCACTGGTAATACTAGCTTTTGTGAAAGTAGCCTTGAGGGAGGAGGGGGACCAGCTGTTGCCATTTCTGAGATTCTCTGGTCTGATGGCCTACCACTACAGATGCATACAATCAGATATTCGTTAGTGACCTTTCTGATGAAGTACGTATTTCTGAAGCATTCACATCTTATAATGCATTTTGTATCCTGAAATATGGTTACCTAGCAGCGATTCCTCCTTGACGAAGATTAGATACTCTTGGTTTCCCATCCTTGTCGATTCCACCTGATACTGTAAGCCCTAGGGTAGTGCCTTCTTTTTTCATTAATTCAACTATCGTCGAGCCCTTGAATTCCTCTGGTGAAAGAAAATTATTGGCACTATTAAAATTAAATGATGACACAGATGTTGCTTTTCTACAATGTCATCTACTTCCCAAGAAAATAATTGTGTATGTTCATAAGAAATAATATATACGTCTGGAGATTCTTTATGTTACAATTCACAAGTTCTGCTCACAAGGTTTTGCATACAAGTAAATCCAATACACACGTTCTGTAAAAGGTCATTAAAACTACACCAGTATGCCAGTATACTATACAGAGCCAATAAATACAAACCCCAGTAACACTTAAACTAAAGGCAGTTGTTTCACATTTTAGAACATCATCTCCTCTCATTTTCTGTTTCTTCTTCTGAACTTCTATGCTTTAAAAAGCATTTCAGCTTATAACTAAATAGAAGGGTAAAAGACACACTGCTACAATGGGACTAGAAAACTTCAGACTTAATTTAGGCCACTTGAAGACGTCGGTGATAATCAGAAGAATTGAATGTATAAGAATCCAGGTGGAGATTAAATGCATCAGTTTTATTGCTAATTCTTACACAAACAGATTAATGCTCTGATCTCTTAGCTGTGAAGGTCTTCCATAGTCACATGCTATCTGGGATGCCCTCTCTTGCAGTTTGCCCACTTGGCATTCTCTGAAAATGCCAAACTACTGTCATGGAGCTCAACAAATGCTGACCCTCTGGAAGAGACAGCCTGGAGTGCTCAAAAAGAGATGGCCTTATTTCAGGTGGCTGGATACATCAATGTACCTATGCACAGCTGCAGCCATGCTGGAGCCATGAGACACTCATACCTCATGCCTAATGTTTCCAGAGAAGATCCATCAAAACCATCAGCTTCCCAGATATTCTGGGAAAAAGTATATTAAGTCCTAAAGATCAATCCTGAAAATGATGACATTCCAGAAGGATCATCCATCTCTTTGGTTCCTTCTCAGTGTAAATGTGCAGCTTCTAGGTCAGATACAAACAGCACCAAGCACACACTGCAACTACGCTATATCAGCACTGCAATGAACTAGCAACCTTGCCATGGCAGCATAAGACAAAGAGCAGCCCAAGAAACAAGCAAGTTAATTGTGTACATTTGTATGTTCACCCATAAGCATTAGAAGCACAGAATAAGCACTATACAAATGGCAGCAAGGGTCTTTCAGTATCTTTCCCGTATGACTGAGAAGACCACCTCATATGTCATGACTTCAGGATGAAGAACAGCTGCCCTGAGCAACAACTCCCAGGCCTGAGCAATATAGAAGTAAAACCAGAGGGCAGAGAGATGCATTCAGAGGAGCTAAAGCCCTGGTATTCTGTCAACTTCAGTACTGCTTTAATTGAATCTGTTGCAGACATGGCATCACCCTATGGAGGGTCCCTGCTCCATTCTAGCTGACAGACTCTTCTTTCCATTCTGGCTGGTGATGACCTCACTTCAGTTATTCACAGTTCTACCACTGTACAGTATGACTTAAGTGCTTGGGTAAGAATTTTCCTAAGCTTAAAAACCTCCTACTAAGAAAAACTTCTGCATTGTATTCAGTCAGTAGCAAGGGTTGGTCTAACTTTTAAGCAACTATACCAAAAGTGGAAGATTTATTATAATAAGATAGATGACAAGAGACTGTGAGACTGTTCAAGACGTGTTCCTGCCCATTCAGACTCAGACAGTAGCACAGCTACCTCATGCATACAACTTGCCTGGCAACGGAAGAGTTTCAAGCACCAACTGGAAGCTACTGAGCTTCCACAATAATGTTTGTGCACATCTGGCCATTCTGACAGTTCAAAAAGAACAGATGTGATTATCTGCATATGACCATATAGACAAGTTGCATAGCAGTAAGAGACACTATGGAACAAAACACTGTTTTCAGTTTTACAAAATACCTGCAAGCATTCACAGTGGTTATAGGAGTCACACACTGTACTTACTGTAACCAAAAACACTGCACAGTTGCACCCACGATGCACACTACAACCTCAGGTGCTGGGTAGGTGTGCTCTACTTGTTTATTCTGAGTTTATTTGATTCTGAGATCTGGATTCAGAAGGACAATTCCCCTCCTCCCCTCTCTCCCAATCCAAATCCTCCCTTTAACTTCCCAGTAGTACAATCTAATTCTCAGGACTCTCTAAGAATTTTGTTCAACAAACTTTGCTAAAACATGTATAGAGAATATCAGCAATGCACTGAGCATGCCTAATTTTTTGCCATACCATTACACTGCTGTGTTTTTCAATCTTTTAAATAGGTTCTGAGTTTGCAAACAAATGCTGGGAAATACTCTGCTGCTTGAAGTGACCTATGGAACAGATGATCCACACAGTGGTTTAAACCAGCTAATTATTACACAGTTCCTTCCAACTGCTGGCATGGAAAATAATAGCCAGGCTAGCTCTTTCTCACCATCTATTTTGACAAATCTCTGTATACCTCTGCCAAGAGACAGTGACCTCTAGACACTCTCCCTAGATAGGCAGTAGAGATGGATTAGCACTGCAAAGGAAGGTGGTGAGGAATGCTCACTGCTATCTAACAAACAGATTAGGTCATCTAGGAGTACACAACAGTTTCCTTAGGCTTGTCCCCCTGGAAGGTTCTGTCACTTTTTTTCTTTGTAGCATAATCATTACAGGAACAAATTAATCTGCCTAATCTGTTCTTGTTTATGACAGACTCCTGTCCTGCAAAGAGCTCTTAAACTTGATATCCCAGACTCCATTTTTCATCTCCGCTTTTTTAAATCACACACGATTACTCCCTTTCAAAAGCTATATCTGCACTCATCTTATTATTCTCATACACTCATATTACTCATCTGCACTCCTTCTACATTATTGCTACAGACTAATCCCACAGGAATATTATCAAAATGCCCAATAACAGAACAAGACAAGGACTTTATCTCTATAACCTCCTTTCTAACAAGTAATGGCATCCTTATGTGCTATTCTTTAAACAACACAAGGTCAGTCTCTATTCTCTAGGTAACAAAAAGCTACGTTACTTTTTGTGTGTTAAAACCACAATTCATGTATCAGCTCACTCATAATTCATTACTTGCCAACCAGAAAGCTCCTAATTAGTCAGAAGGCTCTGGGGTCCGCTCTTTCCCACATGCACTCCCACAGCACTCAAGACATTAGCATAGTCAGCATCAGAAGGAAAGGCGAAGAAGCTATTTCCAGATTTCTTATAATTTATAAGGAAAACAGGAGTTTAATTTACAAGACTTTTGTTTAATGGCAAACTAAATAGAAGACATGGGCTTAGGCAACAGTATCTTCCTCCTCCACAACCAGTTCGTGAAGTATCAGATGTAGGAACATCATTCTTGCAACACATCTCTGTGATACCAACCACGTGAATTATTCTAAAATGAAACTGCACTGAGAGAAAACAGTTCCAAGTCTATAAAAAAAAGCCCAAATCAATACCATTTTACACTTCAGTCTGAGAAACACACTTGCAAGCTTCCTCCCCTCCTACCACTACCAACAGCAGTAGCACTCGGTGCGGCACAGCTCCCAGCAGGCTCTGAGCACGGGATGAGACCCTGGGGCTGCCCCAGGAATGCCACTGTCCCTATGGGTGACCCTGGGCACACGCCTGTTCCCACAGTTTTGAGGCTGTCCACCTACCTGTGGCATGGGGCTGGGGAATCCCACCGCGTCCTGGAGATGGGCTCATTATGGGGAGTGCAAACGTGCACGCACACTTGTGCACGCATGCAGACGTAACGTGGAAATGAGTTTCCACTCCAGAGAGCTTAGCGTGTATCTCCAGTCCTATAAGGTGGAGCGTACACTGCAGCTGAACTCTGAAGAAAACATTACGCTCTTGATTTTTTTTCTCTTTGTTCCTCATCTGAATGCTTCTCTTAGTCCGCTGCTGCAGTGGTGTGATTGTGTGTGCCCTGTTACGACAGCTGGTGCAAGAAGACTACGAGCTGCAACCCGGGAGACTACAGGGATCCTCAGTGTGGGACAGGAATGCTTCAAAGATAAGCAAGTGTTCAAATACAGGAATGAGTAAATCTCCCTGTAAGAAGATGAGTAAACAGAATAGCTTGCACGTAAGGAAAATCCAAGAAACATCATGTCAAGTTGTTTTTTCTTCAAGGAGAGTACTTTTCACAATGAAACTCCAAGAATTTTAAATACGATCAGACATTTTGTAATTTCCTGCATTTTGATGTATGTAAATCTCATGTTTTAATGAATAAAAAGCGTGGAAAATAAGTTGACTCATGAGATTTCTGAATATGGAACACATTCACTTTCACAAAAAAAAAGATTTAATACTAGGATTCAGAAAATAATTTCTCCCAGAACAACATTTGAAAGCCAAGAGAACACTTAATCAAAATTTTATCACCTATTTTATATATTCCTGAAGTTTTATATCTTAATTTACATATTAAAGTAAAATAGAAAACCTTTTCCCTTTATTCCAGATGCTGTCTTTTTGTTGTTGTTGCTGTTCCCTTCTGTGAAGTTTTCATTTTTAGATCCAAGAAAATGTCTAAAATCAATGCAATCAGGTCAAGCTCCTGCATCCTCCACCTATTCAATGAGTTTGCTCTGTGCAGCCAGGACAGAGCACAAACAAAACCTAACCTAAACGTGAAAGTAAGGCTTGCTTTTATTGACCATTTCCTACCAAAAGACTTACCTAATCAATAAGTAAGTAATTGGTAAGTCTGTTGAAAATACAGTCAGTGCTGTCCTTGTGTGGATTTTCCCTGTATGTCAGCAGAAATTCTGCAGAGGAAACATTTTGCTTTACATTCCAGCAGGCATCTCATAGCTTAATAGGAAACCACATAAGATAAAGTCAATTCTTACGAAACTGACAGCAGTTTGTTATCCTGGGGACATCACGTCTGCTCAGTGTTTCACGTCCTGTGGGTAGGTGTATTTCTCTCAGTATGACAAGAAGCATGTCGGCAGGTGATGAACACTCTGCTCCTTGTTGCCCTTTTCCTGACTGGCTGTCAATA